CGGTACTGGGCTTGGTTATGACTTGAAAAGATTTTTTTCTATTAAGTAATTGGCCTCTCAGAGGTGGTAAGACAACTCCCACCTGTTTATGCTCTCTGTCTGTGTGTATATATATCTCCTCAATATATGTTCCATTCTATATGCATCCGAAGAAGTGGGCTGTAGTCCACGAAAGCTTATGCTCTAATAAATTTGTTAGTCTCTAAGGTGCCACAAGTCCTCCTGTTCTTCTTTTAGCTTAAAAGAGTCTTCAGTTCAACAATTTCAGGAGGAGAATAATACATAGTTGACTAATGGGGGTGATGCGAGGATTAGTTAGGTAATGATGTCTTTAAGGGGCTTTGGAGTTGTAAATCACTATAAAAAGGACTAAGTATTAGCTGATATCATGATGATTAGTATAATCCTAGACCCAGCACATCACTTATACTATAATTTTAACATATAATTGTTATTGTTGTTTAGAACATGGGGCGTGAGCAAGCCTTGAACCACATTCACTTGTCCAGTTCACTGCAGGAACTGGGAAGATCAAAGGAACTAGAAAGGAGTGGAAATCAATAGGACTAAGGTATTGAAATTATTTAATCTTGACATGAAACGTCACTTGCTGCATTGTTCAGCGGGACAGAATTTTTAGGGGCATGTAAATGATGCTATTACAGCTGTCAGCCTCTACATTCGGATATTCAGCTGACTGGGGTGGAACATGCCCATCCCAACTGGAATCGCTTTAGGTATGCGATGCAGTGAGGACACCAGACCCGCTTGTAGTGTTCACAAAACACATGCCTTCTCTCAGAGGATTTTGGTTACATTGTGCTCCTTCCAGTTACCAAGTGGGAATTCAAGTCTTCTGCAGCCGAATCCACTACAATCTGATCCTGTAGTCCTTTGGGTAAAATTCATGAGTTTTGCCTGCAAGATTAGGACCTAGTAGATCTCTGGGAGTTTTGACCATCACCTTAGACTCGTTTTAACTACTTTATAGGTTCAGAAGCAAGATTCATAATTTGCACCGAGCCAGTGAACATGGGATTTCTATGTATCCAAGTACTTTGATGGCTCCCCATCACTGTAGCATCTCACAATCTTTAAAGTAGCTTTCCGCACAGCACCTCTGTGAGGTAGGGAAGTTCTATTATCCCCATTTGCCACAGTTGGGGAATTGAGGTACAGAGAGACTTGAGTAACTCACTCAGGGTCCCATGTGTAGTCTGCAGCAGAGAAGGGAATTGATCACCAATCTCCCAAATCCCAGACTAACTGCCAAACCACTGAATTATCCTTCCTCTCTCGCTGGTTGCAGAATTCTCAAGTTTATGAGTAATCCCTACTCCAGTTACACATGGGAAGCATATTATTATTGTATGTGTCTACTGAAGTCAAAGCACTGACCAAAACCCAGCATCTACTCTACTTTTTAGTTAGTATTATGGGAGACTACGCTTGGTGTATTGTTCTCTCTTCTGTCTGTAGGTTCACACAGAGCTTTTGTGTGTGGAAATAGGGGAGGGTAAAATTGAAGAGATAAGTACCCAGTGCTATAAATTGCCTCAGCAGGACTAAAATTGCAAGGCCAGATTCTGCTCTCATTTATACTGGTATAAAGTGGAGTCACTCCTCTAAGGTCAATGAAGTTATTTTAGATTCACACACCTAACTGAGATAAGAATCTGTCCTTTTCCAAGAGTCCATAGAGTTTCCTTGAAAGATAGATACAGATTGTTGGTTCAGTGCCCATTGTAATCTGAGAACACAAAACACATACAGAAGCAGTTTATTCTGAACACATTTAAGGCTAGATTGTGTTTATACAATCAGCCCTGAGTACAGGGCAGCATGGAGCTGTGCTGCCCCAGAAACACCCTGGAATGCTGCAATGGAAAGGATGCGAACACTGAAAGAGAATAATTAAATTCAAACTAAAAATTGTTTTCATTTAGCTTTGATGATAGAGTTATGAAAACATTTCTGATCAGGGTTTGTTTGGTTTTTGTAAACAAAAATCTCCATTTTAGCTTTGAAAAAGTTATTTCTCTGTATTTGTACACACACACGTATAATTGTAGTAGTGTGGCTGGAACAGCGACCCCTTGTGGTGACCTTCCAGACACCCGAACCTGGCCAAGGGTCTCCTGGGGGAGCGGGAGGCAGGGGGAAGAAGACTATATCTGGAGTCCACTGAGGCAGGCTCTGGTCCACCAGATAGTTGTCCCTTCAGTCTTATCCGTGTCAGAGGGTGGGGATAGTGGGGGGGGGGGGAGGGGGCTCAACCCCAAAATGTACAGTAATAAAAAGCAAATGTCACTCAATATTGGGCCAGCCCCTCAGCTTCCAGTGCACCTCTACCCTTTCCTTCCAGCTTGGTTCCCAAACAGCTGTTCCTCCCCAGTGGCTGCTCTGGCTAGCAGGACTATCTTTGCAAGTCTTCAAGCAAAGCTCCCTTCAGGCAGAGCTCCGTCCTCCTTCCTGCCCAGTCAGGCCTGAACTGAACCAGGCTCTTCCCTTTTATTCCCCCACCAGGCTTGGCATTGGCCACAGATAGAGCAGAGCAGGGCTAGCTGGGCTCATAGGCTCTCCTTAACCCCTTCTCTGCTGGTACAGGGCCTCTCTGCCGCATCACGCTAATATTATTTTTACTGATTGTTATTTTCTTATCATTGTGAACAGTGACTAAAATATTAATTAATAAGTAAGCTAATTAATTCTTGGCATCTGGTTTATCCTGCTCTCATTGTAGCTCATTTTATGACTTGATGTATGTTTCCTAGGGTTGTCTACACGGTGGAGACTATATCAGCCTAATCCTGTACTGTAGATACAACCTACATGGACGGAAGGCGTTTTTCAGTCAGTGTAGGACCACTTCCCTGAGCAACAGTAGCCATGTGGATGGAAGCATTCCTCCATCAACATAGTTGCATCTACCAGGGCCTAGCTACAGCCGTCAGCCACCCAAGAACAACCCCACTCAACCTGTCGGGTCTGGACTGGGATGGCTAGCCCAAGACTCTGTAACATTCACATTTTCTAGCATGCTCAGTATTGGCTTTACAATGGTGCCAATGGCACCATGGCACTGGGCCCTCACGCAGAAGGGGCCCTGCTCCCCCCGCACTCTGCCCCTGAGGCCCTGCCCATCGCTCACTCCTCTGCCCCCTACCCTCCATGTGAGTGGCAGGGGGGGCCTTGGGGGCAGAGAGGAGCAAGCAGTGAGCAGGGCCTCAGGGGCAGAGTGCAGGGCCAGGGCCATGGTCTGGGGGCCAGGGCCCACAAAAGGTTAATCCAGCCCTGAGCATGCTAGCTTGAGCAGAGCTAGCATGTGTCTATCAACCTGGGCTGGGAGGCATGCCCCCAGCTGCAGTGTAGACATACCCTTAGAAGTCTGCTATTCATGATGAGAATAAGCCAGTGTGTGGTGATACATTCTATCAGCTCTTCTCTAGTGATCCAGGGGGTTCTGCACAAGCTAAGCACTTATATTAAAAACAAGAGTGAGAAAGTTTCCAGCCCTTTTGGTTACAAAAAATTCTAAAGCTAACCCAATACTGCAGAAACAACATCTCTCCCCAAATGAATGGAAGACCTGGTCTACACTAGGGGGGAGGATCGATCTAAGATACGCAACTTCAGCTATGAGAATAGCGTAGCTGAAGTCGACGTATCTTAGATCGACTTAGAATCACTTACTTCACGTCCTCACAGCGCGGGATCGACGGCCGCTGCTCCCCCGTCAACTGCTTCTGCTTTTCGCCAAGCTGGAGTTCAGCAGTCGATGGGAGAGTGATCGGGGATTGATTCATCGCGTCTACACTACACGAGATAAATCGATCCCCGATAGATCGATCACTACCCACCGAACTGCTATGGCTTCTCTACGTGGAGGAGTGGAAGGATAGGCTGCAAACAGTAACTTAATATGGACAAAGGGCTTAAGTGGCCACCATATAGATCCACAGGCCTTACCTTCACCAGTAGGGAATGCACAAGAGACCCAGCTGCTCCTACACCTCGTTAACAATGGTAACAGTCATGGCTACAAAGCTATTCCAAACTGGCCTTCCTGGTTGCCAATTTTGGTTGGATGTATTCCTGGAGATTTCACCACATGACAGTCTTTAATTAAAGATTAATCTTTAATTCCTGGAGACTCCAGGACAATCCTGGAGGATTGGCAACCTAGTGTTGTGGTAGACTTCTCTCTCAGCCTGTGTGTGAAGGGAGGAAGGCAGCACTTCATTCTAAACCCGGTGCTACCTGCACCTGTCATCTCAATGGGGTTTTAGCAGTGAAGATTGTAATAGTTAACTAGTTCACTGTGCCACTTGTTTTAGTAGAAACATCCAGAAACTCATGGACTCTGGATAGATCTAGAGCAGAGCACTACTACTTTCTTATCCGCCCCACAATCTCACCACTGGTTAGGAGCCCAACTTTTAATCAACCTCCTTCTGGCCAAATAGGTCTTCATTCTCTGGTTTCAGCCTGCATTTTGGGGGGCTGAGAAGGGTGTGTGTGTGCAAAGCGTATAAAGTAACTCTTTCCTGACCAAGTTTTGCTCTTCATGTTGATTTCATCCATCATCAGCTATGAGTGGCTCAAAGAGCTCACTGAGCTGAATGGGTCCATATTGGCCTACAATAGGAAATTGAATAGCTTGAGGCTTTTCTGTTGGCTGATTACTCTCTCCGTTCCTGGACTTCTCCAGACCATTTGCGGGTTGGAGGACGGATTGTCCAACATCCTGTTTTATGACTTGAGGCAATGTGCTTCTCCGTTTAGGATAAAGGACCATGACTTTGGCCTCCTGTTTTATCCATTCACGAACTGGATTGCTGCCTTATATATAGGAGCTGTGATAAAACACACCCCTGTATTCACATCCTACACACGATTGTAATAATCATTGTACAAAATATGCCTTGTATCATTTGAAAACTCATAATTTGCTGATTGGTACCATCCTGATAAAATGTGTGTGGCAACATTGTATGTAAAGTTATAAGATTCCACTGTATGGCAGTGTTAACGTATGTTCCAAACTGTCTCAAACCAAGGAATGTATGCTCTGCTTAATTTGCATCAAGCAGGAAGAGAACCACAGGAAGCTCAAACAGATGAAGAAAAAGCAGCAGGAAACATCCTTCCCTAGAGACTTTTTGTCTCCTGGTACCCAGCTGGAAATGTTTTTCAAAATGGAGACTGAAATTATAAATGGAGGGACAAACACCTCAAGGCCCCCCACCCCATCCTCCTGTCCATTGATTCACTGCGCCTGAAGGGACAAAGTAAGAAGCTGTTGGACTAGAGAAGGGCTCTTGATCTAAGAAGTTCAGTCAGTAAGACTGCTGAGAGCATGTGGTGAGAAAACCTTGCTTTGAATTTAACATAGTTTAAGTTAGACACCGGTAGCATTTTATCTTTAGTTTTCTTGTAACCATTTCTGACTTTTATGCCTTATTACTTGTGCTCACTTAAAATCTCTATGTAGTTAATAAAGTTGTTTTATCTAATCCAGTGTGTTTAAATTGAAATGCTTGGGAAACTCCATTTGGGGTGGCAAGATGTGTACATGTTATTTCTATTACAAAAATAACAGACATATATAAACAGGTATTTTCCACGAGCGGGCTGGGACATACATTTCGGGGGGGGAATCTAAGACTGGGAGTGTGTTGGGGTCACTCTGCAGTATAACCCAGGCTGATGAGAGCCAGAGTGTAACCAGGCTGGCAGGCTGCAGTTACACACAAACACTCAGGGTGTGGTTTGCATGCTGGAAGGGTGTTTGTGAGCGGCCCATGTGGGAACTCCTTCAGCAAGGCATTGTAAGGCACCCAAGGTTGCAGTGCAAAGGTGGCACAGATGCTCATTAGTCTAGACTGTACCCAGGTATGTCCCTTCCTTTAAGCTAAATACAACAGAAAAACAAAGCATTGTGTGTCTCTCAGTTCATTATTAAAGCATAATCAATCATGAAATAAAACACTAGAGAAAATCCTATTTCTTGTTGTTGTTTTTTAGTCCCAGACAGAGGAGCAGATGACAAGGCATTAGCAAAAATATATAGATGATGGTGCAGGATTTCCCCCTAGGAAAGGACATTTATCCCATGCCTACAGCCCTACCAAATTCACGGTCCATTTTGATTAATTTCACAGTCATGAGATTTTGAAAATCATAAATTTCATGATTTCAGCTATTTAAATCTGAAATTTTACACTGTGGTAATGGTAAAGATCCTGATTCAAAAAGGAGTTGGTGGTGATGGTGGGGGTTACGGTACTGCTCCCCTTACTTGTGCTGCCTTCAGAGATGGGCAGCTGGAGAGCAGCGGCTGCTAGCTGGGATCCCAGCTCTGAAGGCAGAGCTGCCACCAGCAGCAACGCAGATGAAAGGATGGCATGGTATGGTATTGCCACCCTTACTTATGCACTGCTGCCTGCAAAACTAGGCCCTCAGTCAGCAGCCGCCACTCTTCGGCCACCCCACTCTGAAGAGGAAGCAGGTGCTAATTGGGGAGGACTTGTGGATGGAAGCCACAGAGGGTGGAAGAGAAGCTTCCCATCAACCCACTGCCAAAACCCTTCTGCAATGGATATAACCATGTACTGACATTTTTCCAGTTTTTTTGCTTTAAGAATCTGACCATCCTGTTAGTGGTATGTTATGGAGTGTGCCGCTGACCCCTGCGCTGCCTGTAGCTAGGTATTTCCTGCCTCAGTTTCCCCTAATGTGCCATCAATAAGTTTAATGAGGCTTTACATAAGGAACAGAACCCTTTCTGAGGGGTCTAGTTTATTAATCAGTGTCCCAAAGAGAATACAAGCACACCTTCATCTAGTGTCTCAGCTGGGAGTCAGTCAGTTTATCTGTTCCCACCTCTTCCCCCTACCTCGGTTCTTTATCAGCAGAGTTTTCTTGACTCTGCACGCTTCCCTGGAGTCAGGCCTCTTGCTGCTACCTCGGTAGAATTCTTCCCTGGAGCCAGAGTTGGTAGAGATCTGTCAATTGAATCCCTTCTCTGGGACAGCACGTAGTTCTTGATGGGCTGTGCTTCTCACCACTGTTTGGGAGAACCTTTTTCTGGGAATAGGCCTTCTTGGAGGGCTGCCAGCTGTAACTCTGCCCTCAGAAATCTCTCCTCTCTAGAAGCACATCTAGGGTCTTTGCTTACATGAGCCCTCCTGATCAGCTGTCCCAGGAGTTCCCTGTCTCCAGGAGCACACCTTCTAGGTTCCCTACTCTTGTGGGTTCTCCTTATCAGCTCTCTTAGGAGCACATCTCCTCAAGAGCTCCCTGTCTCCAGAAACTCCCACCCCAGCACTGATACCCCTTTATCAGCCTCATTAGCTGCCTGCCAGCCAGCCTGCCAGCCATGTGTGTCTGGGTTGGCTCATTCTCCCTTACAGGAACCTGTCACAGGTAGGTTGGGCCCTGACTCCCCTTAAAGGGGTCAACCACCCTGAGACACAGCCTGATCCTCTGTATCTTGTGCAAGCAAAATAAAGTATTTGTGAACATCTGAGGTATGCAAGAAATGTAGGAATGAACCCTATACAGGTGGAGAATAACCCTTTTTGGAAGAAAGAGCGATTTTAGTCATCTTATGCAGTAAATTTCTCCCAGCAATAAGTTCACAGATCAGTTTTGGAGATCCTGAAGTTCCACAGATCCTTATTAACCACCAGGGTTTATAAAGATTTATATTTACTATCCCTTTGAAAGAGTCTCAGAAATAAAGTGGACACACACTACATATTTTTCAAAGATACTAAAAGTGTACATCAAGTGTTTTTTGTTCATAATCCATAATTAAAATGACCCTTTAAAAGCTGAACTATTTGTATGGCCCAATTAAAGTTTCCTGAAATTCTTCTACAAATGTGCCTTTCTGTAGATTTTTGAGGAACACTTACATGCAGTTCATTTCATAGATGCTATTCATACAGAATGTTGTTTTATTTAAAATGTAAAAATGCCTAAATCTAAACGGAGGAAAAGTTATTGTCTCAAAGAAAATCCAAAGGGGAAAAATAGCCCTTTGAAAAGGTGTCTAATTCTTATACATATATGCGCCTTAAAATGATTTGCATACAAATACAGGGAAAGTGGAACCAGATATATTAATTAGTATGAAAAGTACAAATTCATATATACTGTTTTAAATACAGTTTAAAGGAAGCTGAAGTTGTATACATCACAATAAGTAAATGCTATACTTGCAGATTAGACATTAGTTTTCTTCTCAAGGGATGGATTTCTGCTAGTTTCATGTAGGGTCTTGATAGAATGTCTTTCATCTTTTCTTGGTACACTCTCTCTGCTGCTAGTCCTGATTCATATTCTCGCTGCTTCTCTTCTTCCTCAGCAATGTGGGCCTGCTGCTGATAGGTAATTTGAGCCTGCAGCTGCTCCCGATATTCTTTTGCCTCCTGCATTCGTCTGCAAATGACATGGCAAATGTCTCATTTAGGCTGTGTCTACACTGCCACTTTCAGCGCTAAACTTCAGTCATTCAGGGGTGTAAAAAAACACACACCCCCGAGTGACAAAAGTTTTAGTGCTGAAAAGCACCAGTATAGACAGCGCTTTACCGCCAGGAGCTGCACTCCCAGTGATAAAGCTACCACCGCTCATTTGGGGTGGTTATTTTTTTATCGCCGGGAGAGCTCTTCGCTATTGATAAAGCATGCCATGGCCGTGCTGTAATGTGGGCAGTGTAGACCTCCTCTTCGAAGTTAAAGATAGAAAATTAACAGCTCAGATTTCTTGAGGTATCATTGATCAATCTTATGTGAAATACTGCTTAAAACTTGCATCCGACGAAGTGGGCATTCACCCACGAAAGCTTATGCTCCAATACATCTGTTAGTCTTAAAGGTGCCACAGGACTCTCTGTTGCTTTTTACAGATCCAGACTAACATGGCTACCCCTCTGATGCTTAAAACTTATCCTTAACTACTATTCTAATCAACAACCACCACATTTTAATAAACTGTAAACTCTTTGGGGGCCCAATATGTCTTTACTATGGCTTATAAATCAGAGTACAAACTGAGTGCTTAACAAACAATGATCAATGAACAAACGATCATTAATCAAATAACAAGTTGTATGCTTTCCCCCCACAAAACTGTGTAACTCTTTGTCTGTCTGTTATTGTAGTGAGGAGATGACAGAGGATTATGCAGACAATACTTAAATGTTAGGTCTAGGTCTTTATCTGGCTATGTTTCATCCCTGTAGCACCCTAATATCCAATTTTCCCTCCCTTGTTTTTAAGATAACTCTATTATTGTACTTCCATCTAAGAAGGCAGGCCAGAGATTCCTGCCATGGCCTTATGCTAACATTACTCTGAGAAATGGCTTGGGAGAAGAAAGTGAGTTCTACCCAAAGACCTGCACTTAACCTTTGCTATCCTCTGCAGTGCTGTTTGAACAGCCCACCTACCTACCTCAGGTATTTCTAAAGCACCCATCACCGTGGTACTTACATGTCAACAGTTTCCTCAAAACCAGTGCATTAATGAGGAGCTGTGTGAGCCACGTGGCAAGACTCTGCTTCCTGACACTGACAAAAAAGTGCAGCACATCTAGTCTAAGTGATATGGCCAGCACCTCTTCCGCAGCACCGCCGAGTGTGACTGCCACCAAAGCCTAGAGATGGTCTGAGAACCTTTCTGTTAACCGTGTTGCCAAAACACCATGGAATGAAACAGATATTGGCTCTGGAAGGGGCTACTTGATTACTTTCTCCAAATAAGCACCAGAGTGGGCAATAGTATGGAAAAGGAATCAAAGGATAAAACATTATGGATAGTAAAATGAAACTGTAATGAAGGCCTGTGTACATGACATCCAGAACCGCTGTATTTCAGATAGTGCTAAGTACTAGTATTCTTTCCTCAGGCGATAAGCTAGTGAGAAATTGTTCTGACGGTGTGGTCTTGTGTTTCAATGCCTGAATGCACTGTCAGTCGATATTCTTCAAGGGTGGACAGAGTTTTGCAATAAGCCAGAACATTCCAACTCTTATGCTTAAGTAGTTGAATTAATCTCTCTCAAAACTCAGCTAATGTTACAATCCTTAATAACTTTTATTAACAGAATTTAAGGAATACACCTCTTGAGTCACAGCATATGGGTATGTAGTTACTAAAAACAACCAGTAAGCTCAAGACAATTACACTTGGTGGAATACAACTGTATATGAACAACCAGGTTTGGGTGGTTGTGTAATACCAATTTCAGTATAACATAGGTACTACTGAATAGTCAATAGCAAATTGGCTACACAGTAGAGCACCTGCAGAGAAAATTTGCGCAGAATAAAGCCCATTGCTATTACACTACTACTTCAAAATCAGAATTATTCAATTCTGAAGAGTTTAAGACTCAACTTTATTACAAAACTTACTGACATCAGAAGGAAAACATACCTTAAATATTTTTCTTCTTCTATGGAATTGAGTTCTTTAATGGCTTCAGCTAATATTTCCTTATCCTGAGCAAGTTCTTCCTGCTGCTTTGCATTTCTCTCCACTGCAAAAGGAAAAATAAATGCACTGCTAACCTTGGAAGGATGTAAACTTAAACCCCAATAGCTTATTCTAAATGGCAGGCTTGAGTCTTGCTGCTTCTGGAAAGGCACAAAAGCAATAGGAGAGATGTTGGTATTTTTAGAAGAGAGGATTTCACATATACAATTTCAGAATGTTCTGAAATAAGGGCTTACTCTTACAATCTTTATTTCACAGAATCATAGAATCATAGATTATAGGACTGGAAGGGACCTCGAGAGGTCATCGAGTCCAGTCCCCT